ACAGTGCACACGTTGTCTGCTTGTGTTCACTTTGCTCAACAAAGTTTTGTTTGAGAAAGTTGTGGACTTGTGGTCCATTATCTCAAATTTGTGTTCAAACTTTCCGTTTCATTTTATATTTTTTTTAATTTATAAATATAATATAGATATAATCAAAAAATGGGGCCCCATAAATGTGGGGCCTAAAGCAATTGCTTTACCCGTTTTATGGACGGGTCGCCCCTGTTAATGAGCAGTACAAAAGAAAATAAAGAAGAGTGTACAAGGGACACAGTGACCTATTTACACATTCACACTATGGTGGAGACCGGAGATGTCCCCTTCCTCTTTTTATTTACTAGGTATAAAAAGTTCAAACATTTAGTTAATTAGAGCTTATGATCTTTTTAATAAGTGATGGATAAACTTCCACATGGACTAGTTGTTTTCAACTCTTACAAGGATTTGCTCTCACTCCCAAGAATCAAACACTAGAAAGTTGCATTTTTAGTGGGAATAGCTTTTACCAAAGAGCTCACACCAATAAGAAGGTTTGGCATCTCGATGTCGGCTCTTCGCACTTAGCTACCCAATGTCAGGATGTAGCTATTGAGTGAGATGATTTGAGAGGGTATTCGCCGTCGACCATACCTGCCATTTGGGATAATAAACCGAACTATATATAATATATTAATGGAATACGTTTAGGTTGCTAGTACACCTGATTGAATGCCAAATTCAACAAAGTTTGGAGAAACAGTGTTTGATACTTAAACGAGATGAGTTCCAAGAAACCAGAGATGGAACTGAAATATTGGGAGTCTAAGGCTCAAAGCCACCATTGTCCACAAACTTGTACATCTTCCAAAAAGGTTCCATTTTGACACAGTGTCATTCCTTAATTGGTAAGTTTCCTTTTTAGTCTATTCTAAAAAGTATGGCTCATTACTAAATTCAGAAATAATTTAGTTTAAACTTTTAATTTTATCCATGTTTTTATAATCACACAAATACGCCGGGCCTTTTTTTGACTTGTTTAGGACTACAAATTTTAAAAAAATTCAATTTTTTTAAAACTGCGTGCCCAGTCAAATATGTTCACATAAATTAAACGGAGCGACTAATATTTTATCTCGGTAACTAAAAGCCCCCAAGTGTCCTATGGTTTCTGTCACTATCTTTGTTTTCTTAGGAAGAAGTTCGCAACTTCACATGAAGTTAAAATACAATTAGTAGTTTATTGCACCAATCATAAAACGCATGAACTGTTCTAATGATTTGATGGTAAATCTGGTTAGTTAATTATTAAGGAAGTTCACATGAAGATAAAGTTGTAAAAATGTCATTTCTATTTACATCATTCGATATTTCTTGTTGAATATTCCTTTCTTTTTTTTGGTGGTGGCAGACCTACATGGGAACAGAGCGGTCACCGGAACCCGTTAACCTCGACAAAATTTTTTTATATATATATATATATATTTGTATATACGATAAGAAACCTTAAATAATTTTGGTGTGCCTCCTCAAACACAAAAGATGTACCGGCTCCCGCTGGTTTAGCATGCTACATTTTTCTTCTCATTAAGTACATTTCCTTTAATATCTTCTTATTTAGTGCTCAATTTGATTCTTTTTTTCTTTATTTTTTCTAAGTTTATGAACAATTATTTTGCACTAGTACATAGTAGTCAACTTCTACACATAATAGTCTCAAATTCTTTTTGAGAAATATCCTTCTAGACATCTAAAATGTAATAGAGAGAGACATAAGAAGATATTAAAGGACATTGAAATGGGATAAAATATTTCATTAGCAAGAAGCTAATAACCATCTTTATCCTGATAACTAAGTTTATAAGCATTACCATTTTCTTGACATATATAAATATAAGTAATTCAATTTTTTTTCCCAAAAACAGTAATAAAAAAACTCCAAAAAAACTTCTGTCTACAAGGATCACTCCGTGAAAGTAGCATATGTCCGTCGATTCAACGACATCGATTAAGACTCTGCTTGAACTGCTTAACAGACCTTTAATCTTGATCGTATTAGACTAGGTTTTTTATATTTTTTAAAATTCTTTCGGTCACTGACTCAAAGTCACTAAGTTTTAAGGAGTTAACACGTCAGATTTTGTCGTTACTAACTGAATATATCAATAGCGGTGCCTCCGCTGCGCTCAAATTCTAGGTCTGTCTCTCAGTGAGCGGTTATTTTCTCATTTGCTTAGAAAAGAAAGTTAGAAAGGTAATCCATTAATTTTCACGATATTGAATATGAATTTATTAATGCAAGTTAAAATACTATACTTTTTTTTTTCAGTGATCAATTATTGTAATCTTGAAAAAAAAAAAGAAAAAGAAAATGTAATCTGTATTACATGTTCACCACTTCATTGTTATCTCTCCAATAAAGAACGTACCATAAAATCAACAAAAGAAGAATACAATAAATCTTTAATCTTGATCGTATTAGACTAGGTTTTTTATATTTTTTAAAATTCTTTCGATCACTGACTTAAAGTCACTAAGTTTTAAGGAGTTAACACGTCAGATTTTGTCATTATTAACTGAATATATCAATAGCGGTGCCTCCGCTGCGCTCAAATTCTAGGTCTGTCTCTCAGTGAGCGGTTATTTTCTCATTTGCTTAGAAAAGAAAGTTAGAAAGGTAATCCATTAATTTTTCCGATATTGAATATGAATTTATTAATGCAAGTTAAAATACTATACTTTTTTTTTTTTTTTCAGTGATCAATTATTGTAATCTTGAAAAAAAAAAGAAAAAAAAAATGTAATCTGTATTACATGTTCACCACTTCATTGTTATCTCTCCAATAAAGAACGTACCATAAAATCAACAAAAGAAGAATACAATAAATCTTTAACTTGTTACTCCCCAGTAAAGAACATACCATAAAAAAAAATTATTCTTTAATTTCTTACTCCCCAATAATGAACATATCATAAAAATCAACAAATAGAAATACAGTTATTTTTTATTTGTTACCTCCCAATTCATAACATACCATAAAAATCATTAATGAAATATAATACTATTCTTTAATTTGTTATCTCGCCCAATAAATAACATACCATAAAAATCAACAGATAAATAAAATTATATAATTTCACACAATCACATATATAATATGGTAAATACTTAGCACCGGATGTTCAGATTAAACAATATCAACTCATGATGAATAAGTAAATTAATAAGATATAAATATATATTTATTGAATTAATCATAGTTAAGTAATTTTTTGTAAGTATATTCCGAATAAACTTTTTGCAAATTTAACAACAAAAAATATAGATAGGCCTTAAATTTTGGAAAGGTAAACATCATTGGGACTATAGCCTGTTTGGCCAAACTTCCCAATAGGCCAAAAGTACTTTATAATATATAGTGACTTTAGGGTGAATGCTTTTATATTTGTTGAATGATTTTTAATATTTTTAATATATTTAATTTATATTAAAAGAATTAAGTACTTTTAAATTTTATTTTCGTATTTTACTTAAATAAAATGAAAAGATTTAATTATTGCCTGTAATAATAAATTTTTAAGATTATTTATTTACTTATAATATTAATTATTAAGTAAATTTATTCATGTCTTTATTCGTAATTTGATATTTCAAAGCACTTTCTGAAAAATTTAGACAAATATAAATTATTGCTCAAAAATATTTTCAGAATGATTAGCCAAACACAAACTATTTTTCTCCAAAAGTATTTTTTTCAAAACCACTTCTAAAAAAATACTTCTCAAAATAAGCTGATTTTTACGTCATAGCCAATCACGCTATAAGAGTGCCAATAACTGCCTTCTTCCGAAAAATCATCTCACTCACTTTTATGTTTGTTAGCCGTAGCCATTCAACTTTAAGTTCCACAAATGGACATACCCAATTTCCAGTTAGACCTGAGATATAACGGTTTTGGTTGCAATAATAGTAATCTATTAGGGGTAGTTTCGGTATCGCAAAAAAGTTTTTGGCCCCACCTTGGACGGCGTTTGTGTTCAGTCTCCAGCTATAAATATTTCTCTTTCTCAAGAATCATTTAACAACTTCATTTCAAAAACAATTTATAAAAGAGGTACATGCATATACAAAATTCACATATGATTCTTCTTTTTACAAATATTTATATGATTTTTTTGGTCTTTTTGACTGAATTATTGGAAAGAGTTCTGCTTATATGTGGAATAAGCTTTCTGCTTCTGTCTTTGAGTAATTTTATGTCAAATTCTTTGTTGTTCTCATCTGCTTTTAATTATATCTTCTTTCTCTTTTTAGATTCTTGAGCCCCTTTTCGTCTTTTTCAATATTTCTCTTTTTGGATATTCTTACGTTGGATCTTTTCTTTGTGAACTTTTTTGGAGTTTGGTCTGATTTTTGATTTACTCCATTAGTTGATTAAGAATTTCTTGAAATAATTTCAGGTATCTTTCTGAATTTAGTAGACACTGAAGTATGGTCTATGGAGTAGTGCATCAGTCCAGCTAGCTTTCAGTTTAATTAGTCTTAAATTCCACACACACTGACACACAGTCACAAAAATACATTTATTTATTATACATTTTATTGTCTACACATTTAATTGTATGTTTTCTTGTCTCTGTCTGTATGTCTAAATAGCTATAGTAAAGATTCCATGGAAGTATTAATTTTTCTGAATTTGTATGTATGTCTGATAAGCTATAGAAAAGATTTCTTTTTGGACTGTTTTATTTCAAAACATCAAATTTGTGTTTTCACCTTTGACTTTTTTGTACTATGTCTGATTGCTAACAGTATAGAACAATCAAGAACTGAAAAATTTGCAGCATATGCTTGTTTGACACCTACTTTTATAAGCTAACAATCAGAGTTTATAGGTTCTTATAAACAGCTTTTTAGGAGATGATTCATAGAATTTTACTTATCTATATATCCAATATCCATATAACCTCACCCCCACCACNGAGGATCTTTCACTTGTAAAAAATGTCTTTCTTTTTGTGGGGTTCTTATTTTCTTGATGTTTTTAGAAGGTTTGAATAAGGAAATTGAATGGTTGGTTTGCAGTTCTGGTACTACTCAAGGGAAGCCAAAGTTTGTACCTTTCAATGATGAATTGATGGAGTCCACTATGCAGATATTCAAGACCTCTTTTGCCTTTAGGAATCGGTAATGCTATTTTTCATTTTGTTCTATTTATGCATATCTGGCAATTTGCTTGTTGAAAAAAGGGAAGCCTGGTGCACAAATCATCCCGCATTCACGCAAGGTCCGGGGAAGGGCCGCACCCCAAGTGTTGTGAAGTAGACAGCCTACCCTAACACAAGGATTAGTGGTTGCTTCCGCAGCTCTTACGCCTGACCTATAAGAGCAGGCATTGGTTCATAAAATTTCTCTAAGCAGCCATGGAAAGTTAAAGAGTTTAAATGGTGATAAATGTGGGGGACACATAACGAACTTCTGTCACAATTGAGACTTTTCAATCCCAAGAACAAGAAAAGGACTGGTCATTCTTTCTTCAATTAAATTAAATGTTTGGTTTGTTATAGCTTAGCTAAATGTAATAGTTCTGTTTTTTTTTCATTCAGAGAATTTCCAATTGGAAATGGGAAGGCTTTGCAGTTTATTTACAGCAGCAAACAGTTCAAAACAAAGGGAGGTTTAGCAGCAGGAACAGCCACTACCAATGTGTACAGAAATGCACAATTCAAGAAGACAATGAAAACAATGTGTACTCCATGTTGTAGTCCTGATGAAGTAATATTTGGTCCTGATTTTCACCAATCCTTATACTGCCACCTTTTGTGTGGGCTCATTTTCCGCGATGAAGTTCAAGTTGTTTCGTCAACCTTTGCCCATAGCATTGTTCATGCTTTCCGAACTTTTGAACAAGTATGGGAAGCACTTGTTGTTGACATAAGAGAAGGAGTCCTGTCGAGTAGAGTCACTGTCCCGTCCATAGGATTAGCCATGTCAAAATTGCTGAAGTCTGATCCAGAACTAGCTGATACAATTTATAATAAGTGCTCAAGATTAAGCAATTGGTACGGTTTGATTCCTGAACTCTTCCCAAACACAAGGTACATATATGGTATAATGACAGGATCAATGGAACCTTACTTGAAGAAACTGAGGCATTATGCTGGGGAGTTACCTTTATTAAGTGCAGATTATGGTTCTTCTGAAGGATGGGTTGGAGTAAACGTTAACCCGAAATTGCCCCCTGAACTAGTCACTTACGCAGTACTACCAAATATTGCTTATTTCGAATTCATTCCTCTCGGGAGAAATCTCAATGGCATGGAGCAAGCAAATTCTCCTGTGGGTCTGACTGAAGTTAAACTTGGTGAAGAGTATGAAATTGTCTTTACCAATTTTGCAGGTACAATTGTCTTGCACCCCTTTTCTTGAAAATGCTTTGCTCAGCAAAAATGTTTAAAGACTCCAGACTTTATACTTGAGCCTCAGTGTTTTATTTGATAACATTAAGTAATTCAGCTGAATGAGACAATTCCTCTCTGGTTTTCACTTAGTCTACAGGATTTTAATTATATGCACTAACAGTATAATTGACTATTTTATGAATGTGTATATGCAGGTTTATATCGTTATAGACTAGGTGATGTGGTAAAGATAAAAGACTTCCACAATGGGACTCCAGAACTCCAGTTTGTATGCAGAAGGAACCTTTTGCTGAGCATTAACATTGACAAGAACACAGAGAGAGATTTACAACTAGCCGTAGAAGCTGCAGCAAAGCGCTTAGTAGACGGAAAACTAGAAGTGGTGGACTTCACGAGCCATGTCAATGTCTCGGCTGATCCGGGACACTATGTGATCTTTTGGGAACTGAGTGGTGAAGCAAATGGTGAAATGTTGCAAGATTGCTGCAACTGTTTGGATAAGGCGTTTATCGATGCAGGCTATATGAGCTCCCGGAAAGTGAATGCAATTGGAGCACTTGAGCTGAGGATTGTGAAGAGGGGAACATTTCATAAGATATTAGATCATTTTGTAGGATTAGGAGGTGCAGTTAGCCAGTTCAAAACTCCTAGATGTGTTGGTCCAAAGAATAGCTCATTGCTCCAAATATTGTCTAGTAATGTTGTTGAGAGCTATGTTAGTACTGCCTTCTGTTGAATTAAGTTAATAATTCACATAGTTCTTATATATTTTTCCTTAATCAATCAAACAAGAATTCAGTATTTTTCATGTTTATTCTTAAGTAAAATTTAAATTATCATTTTCATTAACTTAGAATATAATAAGTCCTTTTCTACTATAGTTATTTAATTAAAATGATAGTCAATTCAAATTTAACTCTCTTCTAATTTAGTTAGTTCTAAATTATAGTACTTGGCAACAATATGTTTTTGCTGTTAACATATTATGGCTTTCAGAATAATATGATTTTGCTAAATAAATAATTTATATTTATGAAAAAAGAGTTTATCGAATCAATAATATGTTTCTTAATTTATAAATCGACCATTCTTTTTAGAACAGACTAAAATGAAAATAGGTTCATGCAAACTGAAATTGAGGGGATAATGAATTATTTCCGCTATATGATTTTGCTGTTAGCAAATTGTTGCTATTCAGAATAATCTTATTTTGTTAAATAAATAATTTATATTTATAAAAAATAATTTTATGGAATCAATTTATAACTAAGAGTGAAAAGAGACATAAATTACTTTGTAATTGAGTCAACTTAGAATTAAAAATCTTACAATACTCAGCTCATTTATATTATTTATAGATTTAAGGATACTTCAGTCATCTTAATATAAAAAGCGTTCATCAACATCTCTCCGCCAGACACATTAACATCTTATTTACAAAGTTAGCTTCATCACTTAAAAAGTATTTTTCAGCACTCGACGCTTAAAAGCTACTTGTTTGAAATAGCAATCTCTGTATTTGATGATTCATGACTTGTTATTATGTCCTTAATTTCTTGCTCCACTAAGATATGGCAATTCCATGAGATGTCTATCAATGACATGGTTGAGTGCAACCAATTCATCGTAGAAAAAAGTTCCAAATTTGTCCTAATGACTTGATATCGTGCTTAAACTATATCGTAGAAAATGACAGATCCTCTAACCTTAAAGTATATTGTAGAAACTTGAAAGATCCTCGGGGGTAATATTACCGATGGTCATTCAACTTTCATTGAAAAATAATTCAAGTAGACCTATACATATAAAAAAAACGTTGGATAATACTAAATCTAGTCCCAGAAAATGCATGTAGCCAATCACATGCATGTATAAAATTGTCATGTAAGCATAGTCACGTTACCAGCTCATCTTATATAATAAGTACATACAACCACTTAAGAGGTCGTTTGGTTCGAACACGAGTTGTGCATGGATTAATAATACATGTATTAATAATGCACAAATTAGTTATGCAGGGTTAAGATACACCATACTTAGTTATGTGAAAATTAGTTTTACGAAAATTAATTATGTAGGGATTAGTAATTTAAAAATATAATGTGAGTATTATTTATTATTTACCTAGTTTATTCTATTAAATAATTAGTATATTTTAAATATATATTATTAAACAAAAAATACAAGTTTGATCGAATAGGGTATTCTTGTGATCTTGTATTTTCATCCAAGTATTACTAACATATATTAGTTATTCCATCTTCTACCCTGCATAAAATAGTACATAGATTCTCTTATAACTTATACATATATTACTTATGCTGGAAAAAAAAAATATGTATACAATGCTATAATTTATGTGAAAAAGAGAGAAAAACCAATCAAACATGGTATAACTTATGCTAGATTTTATGTGAAGATTATTTTTTCCTATTTTTGTAATCAAACATTGTATAAAGTTTTTTTTTTTTGGTTAAAAAAGTATATAATATATAATAACAGAAACTAGTTAGTGTCAGTTACAATTTATAGTACTTCATTCGCGTCTACAAACAAAGAGTAGTCTATTCTACATTAATGCTATTACAAACCATTGTTTTCCTTTCAAAAATAGTTCATAGGATGTCTGCCAATAGTGTTTCATTGGCAAATACTGAAGGAACTACCAAAAAGTTTCTACCCACTACAGTATACTTCCCTGCTTCCTTTGCTAACTTGTCCGCTACTCTATTTGCTTCTCTGAAGACATGGCATACTGGTGGACGCCCCGGTGCTATCAGGAGTGACCTACATTCACATATCAAATTGTCATAAATTAGGTTACCTTTATTGATACAATTAATTACCTGGGTAGAATCCAAATTAACCTCCAGAGGAGTAAGGTTATTTGTAATCGCCATCTTTAGCCCTTGCATCAATGCTATTAGTTCACAGTGTAGTATGTTAGTACATGTTATCTTTTTCATGAAACCTATTACCCAGTCCCCCTGCTATTCCTAATAATCCTGCCCAGGCCTCCCACCAATCCATTTTGAAGGGTTGCACCATCAGTGTTGAGTTTGTAGTGGTCCCTTTGAGGGGGGTGCCATTTGATCTAGATGAACAAATCAGGTTTTCCTGGCATCCTCCTGCTACATGAATGTACTCTATGTCTTTGGCTATGCCATTTTTGTATGAGACATGGTCCCTTTTTCTATTGAAACAATTGTTGTTTCTAGTTATCCAGATTTCCCAGAGGTAGAAAGGGATCAACTGCCCCCACCTAAGTAGGCTATTGAAATTGTGACTGTGCAGACTGTTAATGATGCATTCTCACTTGGTTTGGACATTGGAAAAAGGACTGGATATTAATGTTTGTCTGACGTAGTTATGAAAGGTTATCCCAGAAGTGCTTAGCATTTTCACACCTGATGAACACATGCTCAATGGATTCCTCTTCTATGTTGCATAAGAAGCAAACAGGGCTCAAAGTTACACCTCTGTGATGAAGGTGTTTGCTAGTGCGGAGTCTGCCATGTGTCATAAGCTAAAGGAAGTATTTGATTTTATTAGGAACTTTCCTAGCCCATATCCAATTGAACCTTTTTTCCTGTTCATTTTCCTGATGGTATATATCCTATAAGATGCCGAATAGGCAGACTTCGTTGTGAACAACCCATTGTGGGTTTGGTTTCATACCATTCTATCAATGTTTGCATTGTTGGCACTGGAGATAGTGGAGCTGATCCTGTTGGTAACACTGTCAGGGAGGGTGACAGAAAGATTGGTAGTGTTCCAAATGCCATCTTGGATATAGGAGGAAACATTCATGGTTTCTTTCTCCCTGTTTAGTGGTCCATTAACCAAGGTTCTGATTGGCTCCATATTGTGGATCCATCTATCATTGTAAAGGTTGACTCCATCCTCCTTGTTGACAATCCACCTATTAGCCTTACTTCACACCTTCTACCCATTCCTAATGCTAAGCCAGGTCCTAGAGGCCATGTGTCTAGTAGGTTGTCTGCTAGTACAATGGCTGTGGAGCAAAACTCTAGCCCACTAGGCATTTGGGTTGTTATATATTCTCTAAGCAAGCCCAGCAAGAATGACTTTATTTTTTAGATCAGTTCTATGAACCCCAAGTCCCCCTTCCTCTCTAGGTTTGGTGATGGTATCCAACCAATTAGGTTCATTTTCGTTTTAGCAGTTGTGGTTCCCCATATGAAGTTTCTTTGGATCTTATCAATTTGGCTGCTCACCTGGGCAGGTAGCTTAATATATTGCATAACATGGCTTGGGATGCGACCAAGAGATAATTTGGCAAGAGTGGTTCTACCAGCCATGTTCATGAAGTGGGTTTTCCAGCCTGCCAGTTTGGTTTGCATATTGTCTATGATGAATTGGAAGTCCCTATTGGTAGGCCTTTTATGGAATATAGGAAATTTCAGATATTTGCCAAAGGATTTGCTGGCCGTAAGAGTGACTGATTTTGATTGGAAACCAACTTCCATTAATGACGTAGGACTCAATGCTTCTAGACAGTCTCTTCATGCACATGATATAGATGTAGGGAGACATAGGGTCTCTCTGCCTAATGCCCCTGCTAGGGTGGAAAAAGTTAGTTCTGCCCCCATTCACTAGAACAAAGATAGAGCTATTAGAGATGCATGACATAATTATCTTAGTCATGTTATAAGGGAAGCCAAAGGACACAAGGGTATCTCTAATTATGGACCATTCCAGCCTATCAAAAGCCTTTTGATTGTAGGCTAGAAACTCGCGTTTTAGCCGTAGTTTACACTCTAATTACTGTATTTCACATATGTTCGTGCTTAAATGATGTTGATTTGCACTTATTACATATTTTATGCCTTGCAGGAAATGATTCCGAGTTAAAAGGATAAATTGGAGCTAAATCGAATAATTTAGAGTTTTGAAGTCTGAGTAAAAGCCAATGAATTAAACCAGGATTGCATCTGGGGCTCGTGGACCAGCATTGCATATGGAAGTGGGAAGAAAGTTCAAGGGCTAGAACAAATGTAGTAATGCGACGCATTAGTGCAAATGTGTGTCAGAAGTTGACAAGTTCAGAGACTGGAAGTTTTGTGATCTGACAAGAAAATGGACTAGTGCGACGCATGGTGCGATGCACTAACACAAAAGTCCGTCAGACACTGGGAGTTCAGAGAGTTTGCATCTATATAAACTACACTAATGCAACATGTTGTGCGACGCATGAAGTGTAAAGTTTGCAGGTTTTTCCACTTCGGCTCAAAGAGGGTAGTTTCATCCGGGTTCATTCCTACTTGGTATAAATACACTGAAAACATATTTTTTGAGGGATCTTTGACCTATGAAAGATTTGAGAACCAACCAAGGCAAGAAGACTCAAAAATTCATCAAAATTTTAACTAACAATCGGTGCAATACGGGAGTTTATATCGAATCATTATCATTGATGTCTTCTATGTTTTTAAACCTCATTGAGATGACTTTTTCCATTGCTATGGAGTAAATTCCATTAGGGTGTTGACAGATACGGTGTTTTGATAACTTGGTTAGGGATTCAATTCTTGATAATTGTTGAAATTAATTAATGGAGTTTTAATTCGTATTGTGGAGTTATTTCTTATTTTGCTTAATCGAAAGAAGAGTTTGATATTAAATTTCTTTACATCTTATGCTCTAGTTTAAATTCGTGATTCAAATAGGTAATCGAAAGAGCCTCTTGAATTGTTAATTGAACTAGAAAATAGGAAAATATTCGTGAGAAGTTACCCTTTAGACCATAAGCATCATTTGATTGTTGCAATTGTTTGTCGTGCTTCA